GAAACATCGGCCTTTCTGCTCCTATGATGCTGCTTGGCCTGCTGTGTTCATCCAGCTCTGCACCTTGTTGTCTCTTACTTTCAATACTGCCCTGCCCATGAACAAGGGCAGCACTTGCTGCGAGGTTTCCAATAAGTGACTCAAAAAATTTCATGTGTCATGGAACAGCAGTTGAAGAGTGACAGTCAGTTTGGACACAGCAAGCGAGGGAGAGCCAAAGAAAGCTCCATGCAGAAAAGTTCTCCTGAGAGGCCACTAGTTCTGTGTGGTTGGAGCTCAGGATGAAGGCCCAGGAGCAGGTGAATAGCTCTGTGCGATAAGGACTCAGGGAAGTCTTAGGAGATAGTAGATGCAATTAACTGTCAGAGTTAGGGCTCAGGCAAGTCCACGAAGCTGGAAAGGGTTGGTACGAAGCATTTAAATCAACTACTGTACGTTGAGGGTCAACCTATGGCAAATGGACAGCAGCAGTTCAAGAAGGCAGCTCACCACAACCTTTGTAAGGTCAAGTGGGGATGGCCCAGCCAACAGTGTCCAAATCCTATGAATGACAAAAAAAAAGTGTTGAGAGTGGAGGTTGAAAAGCCTACAAGCAGAATTTACTTGCTGCAGCTGAGCAAAATTAAGAGCTCAGGAAAAAAACAGAAGCAGTATTGTATTAGTGAAAGTACCTAAGGTTGCACCTCTGAGCAAGTCCTGGAGGGCAGCTTCCAGAATTCACGAGACCATGGAAAACCCAGGAAAGGAAGGGAACTACCAAAATGTGAGTAGCCATCAAGGCAGTCTGTGTTTGTTTGATTGAGCTCCAAAGCTCAGTCTTCAGAAGACAGTTGTAATCTCTTATAAAGTTTTAATGAGATTTGATGGTCCACTGTGGCACTAACACACAAGTGGAGTGGCTGCTGCAGAGAAATCTATGGGATCTGTTTTGACCGCTATACTAGTGCATGTGGTCAGAAGTCACACAACACCAGGTTATAGTCCCACAGATTTATTTGAAATCGCAAACTTTTGGATCACTGCTCCTTCATCAGGCAAAGTACAACGAAGGGGCAGCACTTCAAAAACTTGTGATTTCAAATAAACCTGTTGGACTATAACTTGACGTGGTGTGACTTCTGACCTCGTCCACCCAAGTCCAACACTGGCACCTCCATATCTATTGCATGTGCCCTGTGGGGTATTCAACCACAGCTTGTCTTTTACTCGTATTTACCTCAGGTTTTTTCTACTTGTTAGAATACATGTTGCATACACATTATAGAATGTACTAGGATGAGTTCCAACATTGTAAAGATTTTTAAGGTTCAAAATTGTGGAATCTTGGGGCTTTAGTCTCTCAGTAAGGACTTATGACTCTCTTCCTTTGTCTACTTTGAAAAAGTTACTGGTCCTATCCAGGTGATAATATAAATCTGACAATCTGGTATGATATTAATTATTCATCACCCACCAAACCAGCACGTACCCACCATCAACTGGACCCAGGAATCGTTTGTCAGTTTTGAAGGAACAAGACTCTCGCCACTCCTGGTGCGAAAATAAAACCCACTGACCTGGAGCGATCGCCTGCCCGTTGTCTAAAGGCCAAACAATTATGCGCGGTCTGTTTAAAAACGCAAGGAGTGGCTGACAGCGTATTAAAAGAACAGGAGGCTGAGACGGGTGACAGGCCACAGCCTGACCGGATCCGGCTGAGGAGACAATGCCTCTGACAGCCCGCTCATGGCGCGAGAACAGCTCCAACGTTCAAAACTGCCACCCGCCCGCCGGACGTAGTCGCCTCATGACGTGCTTCCGTCGGGCGTAGCTCGGCCGTCGCCATGGAGACGGGCGATACACGGAGAGCTGCGGGCCCTGTCGTAAAATGTACCCCCGTTAGTCAGACTGAGAAGGGAGACTCTGGGCCAGGAGGCCCGGGTTCAAGTCCCACTTGGCCCAGAGATTGTATCGTAACATCTCTGAACATGTTAATTAGGAAAATATATATTCCCGTGCAGGGAAAAAGAACTCTTAAAGGGCTCTTGTGGCACAGCGGTGATGTCCCTACCTCTGATCCAGGAGAACCGGGTTCAAGTTGCATGTGCTAGAAGTGTGCGGAAACATCTCTCCGAACAGATTGATATCTACAGCAAGGCAGGCATCCTATAATCTTCTGGCTGTTGTTACTCCAGGTGTGTTTTGTTTTCCTTTGGAGTCATATGTAGAAGGTTTACTGGACTAATCCCTGATATAACTGAATTGTCTTACGAGGAAAGATTTGACAGGCTACATATTTGCTAATAAACCTGTTGGAGATGTTATTAAATACCTTTAGAGCAGGTGGGTCGTGAACTCAGGTGTTCCATCCCAGAGGTAGGGATTCTAAACCTATGTCGCAAGAGCCTCCAAACACTGGACAGGCTAGACTTGTATGTGCGAGAGTTCAGAAGAACAAGGGGTGATTTCATTAGAGAATATCAGGTGGGTCTTGTCTGGTTGAATATGGAAAGCATGTTTCCTCTTGGAAACAGAATTTAGAATTAGGGTCATTAAAAATAAGGGGCTGTATTTTAAAACAGAAGAGGGTTGTAAGCCTTCAGAAATCTCTTCCTCAAAAAATGTTGGAAACAGAGACCTTGACTTTTTAAGGTAGATGTGGATAGATTCTCCTCAAGGGTTGAAAGTTTATAGGGGTAGGCAGGAAAGCGGACTTGATCAGATCAGCCATGGTCTTATTAAATAGAGGAGCAAACACATCAGGTCAACTGTCCCTTCCTGTTCCTAACTCATATGTTTGAACAATCCTAGAGATACTGTGCTGATAATCCAACATCTGTGAGAACAGATATATTTTAGAAATCATATGCATGCTCAGTGATGCTCAGTTCTCCATTATCAGAAATGTATAGTTTTAGCAGTTCTCTGATTTCCCTGTAAATTATTCTATGTCTTTCATTATAGTTGGGGTCTCTTATAGAATTTGTCCAGTACTATATTGCCTGCAGACTTGATCCCTCTTTTAACCTAATATGGGCAACAACTTCTGGCTATTCACCATCCCTTTTAGAATGCCCTGCAGCCACTCAATGTGCCCTGGACAGGGACACCAGGGAGATAACATACCATTTATGACTGAAGAAAAGCCTAATTATCAAATTCCCTATCATTGTTAGATTCCCAATCTTGCTCCTCTTCCCTCTATAGCTGAGCCACTTATAGTTTTGTGGTCATGCCTCTGGTGCTTGCTGTTCTTTCCCAAAGTATTCCTCACCTAAAGTTAGAACTGAATACTATTTTGAAACAGAAGTACGTTTGGGGTAGTCCTACACAACTGGCCTGGTCCTTCTTTGTCTGTCTGGGAATCACTCATTGTATTTCAACCTGCACATTCTTAACATGCAGCTCAGTCTTTCAGTTACAACACAGTGATACCAACTGGTGCTCAAATTCTGAAACTCAGAGCTCATTTCCTCCAACTGACAACGTTTCTTGCGTATTAATTCCTGCAGACCAAGCTCCTTCCTTCTGCCTGCAAATGACTTGTTCACTTTTTCACTCTGGTTGCTTTTTGTTGCTCTTTCCATAGCTGCACTGTAATAATTCTCCTTGATAATCCCAGGATAAAGACACATAGATAAGTGAAAATAGTGCACTGATCCCCATTCCCAACCAATACAATTCCATTTCTGCACTTAAATGAATCAATGATTTGTATTTAATTAAGAAAGATTTTATTAGTTTTATTGATTTCAAAGTGATTTAATGTCATTACAGGGACAAATAAAAGTGGTGTCATTTGGATTTTGTCATTAATTACATGTCGTTTAAAATGAATGTTGGCACCAGCTGTTGATTATGAGCAGTGTTATACCACATCTGACACATCCGGTGATGTCTGAAAAGAAATCAATAATAGCTTTTCCAAAAATGTTAGGTGCTACAAATGTATGTTTACTTAATACTGGTAACAATGTTACTAATCAAGATTTGTGACCACTTTACAAAGTTTTGTTCGTATTTCAGTGTAGATGATACTTTGCTGGTTGGAATGATTGTATTGTTCCAACATTAACACTGTTTAATTTCTGATGGAAGTGATCCATAAGTAATTGCGTAAGCGAATTTTGAAGGTTCTGAAAAAGAAGTGCACAAGGTCATTTGGTTTGTATTAGTGAAATTTCATCTTTAGTTTCCAGAGACATCCGTTCAAGGCATCTTCCCTCTGTTGCTCTTCACCTCTCCTTTAGAATCGTAGAGTCAAAGAGTCATACAGCTTGGAAACAGACCCTTCAGTCCAACCCGTCCGCGCCAACCAGTCATCCTAATCTGACCTAGTCCCATTTGCCAGGATTTGGCCTTAGTCCCTCAATCCTTCCTATTCAAATACCCATCCAGATGCCCTTTAAATGTTGTAATTGTACCTGCCTCCACCAATTCCTCAGGCAACTCGTTCCATACATGCACCATCCTCTACATGAAAAAGTTGCCCATCAGATCGGTTTTAAATCCTCCAGCCATATATGATATTATAAATTTATAAACCTCAAGAATGCATGTCCTGTGTATTGTGGGAACTCCAGGACTTCTTCCTTGCCCTGGATATCCATTTGTGCAGGAAATGTCAGCAGTTGCAGCAGCTGGAGCTCTGAGTTCAGAACTTGCCACAACAGCAGGCATCACTTCAGTGCACCCATAAGGTGAGAACTGGGTGGATAGTGTGTTAATTGATGTGGTCAACCCACAGCTTCAGATTACACATGGAGAGAGGGAATGGGTGATCACAAGACAGTCAAAAAGAAATAACCAGGAAGTGCCGGAATCTCCTGACTGTATGCCACTTTACAAAAAATATTTTGCTTTGAATTGATACGAGTGACAATTCATTGGAGGAATGCAGCTGAAGCTAACTCAATGGCACAATAAGTGGCTAAGTGTAGGGGAGCTACAAAAAAGGCAGGAAGAGCCAAGATGATAGGTGATTCAACAGTTAGGGGAGCAGATAGGTGTTTCTGTGGCAGTGAAGTGAATCCAGGAAGTTATGTTGCCTCCCTGATGCCAGGATCAAAGATGTCACTGAGCAGTTGTAGAGTATTCCGATAACGCAAAGGTAAACAGCCATCTTTGTGATCTACATTGGTACCAATGACCATAAGTAGAAAGAAAGATATGTTCTGCAGTTAGAATTTAGAGTCAAGCAGTCAGAATTTGGGGAGCTAGATAGAAAGTTAGCAAGCAAGACTTCAAAAGTGGTCATCTTTCTGCACTAAGAAGTGAGATATTAAAAAAAATGAATTTTCCATTTTAAACATGGGGAAGGAGAGTATTTGTTATGGAATGAAGGGAATAGACATGAACAGCAACAACATGCATTTATATAATGCCTCTAACATAGTAAAAACATCTCATTGCACTTCAATCCAGGGAGCAACTAGCAAACAAAATTTGACATAGAAACACATATTAGGACAGATGACTAGAGGTTTGGTCAATGAGGTAAGTTGCAAAGAGCAGATAAAAAGGGGAAGAGAAAGACAAAGAAAAGAAATTAGGCTCTAGACAGCTGAAAACATGGCCACCAATGACAGCTTTAACACACCTGTGGCATGCTATGAATTATTTAATTGTAATAATATAGCTAACATAAGAGATTTTCAGACATCTTCATACCTCGAATCATTCTTACCTTTAAAGCATGAAGGAATTTCAATTTTGCTATCTATGCACTGAGTTGGAACTGGTAATCCACAGTTTCGTTCTTTGTCTTTGCAGTAAAAATACACTCTTTCTTTGTGTAATATTCTCCTCTTTGGAAGTTCATTCATCCAGATCTTTTTTCCATTATAGAATATACGAGCTCTCTGCACAGGTAGAATACAGGGAGCTAAACAAGGAAAACGACAACCTATCAATTAATTCTGTTTGCAGATATGTTAATGATAAGGTAATACTCCTTAAGTATCCAATTAAACAAAGATTTAATGAACAGCACCACTGAGAAAATAAACAGCGGCATAGAAGACCATCAAGTCAGTAAAATTTAATTTGCCCATGCTGGCAGTAAATCAGGCTCATAATGCAAGCACCTGTCCAAAAATCAAGCTGTTATCACTTTAAAAGTTTTATGAGATAGCCTGTGTTTGTATTAATGGCTGGATTTTATGGTATACTATATACTCCAATGCACGTATTCCCCACCCTCTCCACTCCAGCCATCACCAGTACCCAATTCTGCCTTCCCCAGCAACCCCAATCCCAACCGGAAAATTCAGTTGCTAGTGTGCCCACCCAAAAGCAATCAGCCCTGCAGCCATTTTACACTGGGATTGCCTCCATTGTTTCAGGGTGAGAATTGTACCCCATCTCAGTCTCCCATCTTCAAGAGTACAAAGTCTGTTGTCCCAGTCGTGCCAGTTTTGAGCGAGGGCCTGCATTGGTACTCTAGGAAATCCCCGGGAAGAAGAAGTGATGGGGTATGAATGTCGGTAATTCCGGGGTTTTGTATAAGCCTGGCTGGCAGACCCCACTGAAGTCAGTGAAGAGGGCTGGTTTTGAAAGACTAGTGAGGGGGCTGACTGAGTGAGTGAGCAACGTAAAGGAGGTCTTCTTGCCCGACTGCATCCCACACAAAGAGAGTTGTTGGGCTACCATCTAACCTCTGCCTTCACCTGCTGTGGATCAGAGGTGGGAACAGAACAAATAGGCCCAGGCTGCTACACCTGATAACCACATAACCCCTGATCCCAAGTCACAACCAGCTACCTAGAGGCCAGGCCACAGTTATTTTGCCCCAGTGTGGGTAAAGTAACAGCAGAGGTGGAATGAGGCCTTTAAGTGGCCACTAGTTCGCCCCTTAAAGAGTCCAATAAGTCCTAGGTGGATAGGCTGTCTGACATCTTCTCTGTCCGTTGTAAAACTGCAAACAGTTTGGAGGTCATTGAAAGGTAGTGGGAATACCACACACTTTACTTCAAGTGTGCCCCCAACCATCTTCAAATACACTGAATTGGGGTCCATAAAATCCAGCTCCGTGTTGCAATTTGGAATATACAATAACATCAGCTTCCATTTATATAACAGATTTGACAAAGTAAAAAGCCTGAAAGTGCTTCACAGAAGTGTTGTCAAACAAACTATGACACTGAGCTAAATAAGAAGGTAGACTTTAAGGACTGTCTTAATGGAGTAAAGTAAAACTAAGAAGTCAAGGGAGTGAATTCCCAAGCTTAGGGCTTAGGCAGTTGAAGGCAACTGGCAATGATGGAGTGATTTAAATAAGGATCTCAGAGGTTTGTGGGGCTGAAGAAATCCTCACAGATAGGAAGGCAAGGCCATGGAGGATTTTGAAAACAAGGATGACAGTTTTAAAACAGAAGTGTTGCCACAATGGAAGCCAATGCAGGTCAGTGAACACAATGGTATTGGAACAGCAGAAACTTAGATAAGCTCAAGTTTATGAAGGGTGAAAGATGAGTGGCTGTCTTGGAAAATGTTAGAATTGCAAAATCTGGAGAAAACAAATGCATGAGTGTGGGTTTCTCTAGCAGTTAAGCTCAGGCAGGAAAAGTCATTGCCTGATGTAAGGTAGATGTAAGTACTCAGTTGTATCATGAATGAGTGGTTGGAAATCTATCCCTTTGACAAGAATGATACTGGTCTGGTTGCATACAGTCTGATTTAGCCTTAGACAACTACTGAGGTTAGTGTTAGGGTCCTTGGCTAAGGAGTGGAGTTTGTGGAGTGTCCAAAGACAATAGCTTTGGACTTTCCGATATTTTGTTAGATGATATTTCAGCTCATCTAGTTATATATGCTGTGTAGACTAATGTGGGGGTAAATATCATTCAATAACAAAAAGTATGAGAATAGGTCCCTGAAACTATTTTTTAGATTACAGATATAAAACTTAAAAGCTTGTGGTTACATGTCTATTATTTGCATTATCAACACTAGAAGCAATTTGCAGCCATTAAGTAGATGCATCATAAATGAAATTTAACATAAAGTAAGCAAACTAAAGCCTTAAATTAAATGTTTACTTTTGCCAGCAAAACTCTGGTATTATCTGGAGGTACAATGAACTTTGCTTTCCAAAGGTAACTGAATCATAGCCGTCTCTTGTCAATCCAGTCAGGTTCATCTTACCTCGGCATGTGGGCTTTTCAGTCCAGTTTCCTGTCTTCTCACATGTGATTGTCTTCAAACCATCCAAAATGTAATTTTCAACACAGCCATAATCAATAGTCTCCCTGTAGTTATAGCTTCTTTTGATTGCAAATACCATAAATCCATTTACTATTTTTGGTGGCATTCCGCATTTCACTTCTATAATAAAAAAAACTTTGTAAGAAAGCCTTTTAATTTGTTCTCATTCATCATGCAACCACTGTTTGTCTCCAACCAAAGCAGTTGGTGAAATTCCTTTTCAGCAGCAATGCAGTGAATAAGAAATACACAGCAATCTTGGTGTCAGTAATGCTCTTGTATGCTGGTTCATGTGACACTCTTGACAGTAAACAGGGAAGAGACATCTGAGAGCACATAAAAAATGGGAATTTCATAATAATGTAAATGCATAGAAGAAAAAAAGTTATGTCTCTCCCATCCATAAATCAGTGCAGCATCACTTCCCACCCAATCTCAACTGTGTAAACTGGATATGGCCAGTTGTAAAGTAGTGTCTTTACCTAAAATATTTTTAAGAGGGCAGCCTGCAATTTACTTCTTTGCAAGAAGATGGCATTGAGATAGAAGGTCGGTTTTGATCTAGTTAAATGGTGGGCAGGGTTAAAAAGCTATTCCCGTTCCTAAGTTCCTCAGACTGTTGTTTGTTTTTCGGATCAATCGATTCTTCTGCTCACTGATGGTCAACACATTGGAGTGTGCATTTACATTTAGTCTTCAATACACCTAATGCCACCCCTCTTGTATTGGATGCCCCTTTATAAATTCCACTGAATTGGATTGCTTGGAGGAAGAAAACAAGAACCTGGCGGAATGTGTGAGTTTGGAAAAAGCCAATCAACATTCTAGGATGTATGATCTTACATTTCACTGCTTCTATTGACAAGTATTGGGACACCAAATTGGAGGGATAATCCTTTGAATCTCAATATTTGTTCAAAATCTCCGTATAGAAAATTCTGAATGTTAACAAAGTCAATTTCTCCAGTTCCTAACACCCCAGGTGGTTTTCTGAGAAGATCTTGTCTATTACTAAGATTCCTAATGTGTTCATTGTATTTTGCTTTGAAATACCAATCAATATAACTATATATGTGTATATACCACCTCATCTATCATCAACTTGACCTTTCTCTGGAGCCAGTTGTCGAACAACAAAACTGGAGTCAATCTTCAGTCACTTTTATAATAATTTACATATTGCAACAAAGCATCTAACTGACAACCACAGTTTCAGTCCATGTTTATGAATAGAGATTCAAATTAATCATTTGAACCTATGCACAATCAGTGTACAATTAACAATCCTTTCTGCACAATTATTTCCTGTGGTTGAGGGATACCATTGTTCAATTTCAGGGAAATATTTTCCACAACATATGTCCAGAACAGATATCAAACACATGCCAGTGAGAGTGTGGAGAATGGACCTTCTGGGAAACATTAAACAACTTGATTCCTTTTTTATGCACCATTATGCAAGGCCCTCACTCTCCAATCTCACACAACACTCAACTATAAAAGAGGGACAAATTACTGCAGATGCTGGAATCTATACTGAAAACAAAAAATGCTGGAAGTCACAATGGGTCGGGTAGCATCCATGGAGAGAGAGAGCAACTCTGGTGAAGAGTCATTGAGTCATCAAGACTAAAAACGTTAACTTGCTCTCTGTCCACAGATGCTGCCTGACCCATTGTGATTTCCAGCATTTTTTGTTTTCAGTCTCTATAAAAGAGGGGGTGTGTTCCTGAGAGCATATAGCACCATTAGTCCTCAACTGTGCCAAAAAAGTAACGTAATTGAAAATTTTCCTACTTAAGTTAGAATGTCTGTGCATCTGTATCTCACAGTGGTGTCTTGGATTTAGCATACGTTAAATTATTATGCAACAACGCATGATTATAATGTGTTGCTATGAGGTGTTGTTGCGCTAGTACGTTTAATTTACAGGTACTGTTTCCTCATTAATGATTAACTCAGGCAATCCCAAAGTGAGGTTGCAAGTTGAAATTTTGGGGTCATGAGCTCGGAGTTAACAACAGCCACCATTGAGCTCTGAATGTGTTATAACAGCTGCATTCCCACTCATTCACAGACAGGCCCCCGGTCTCACTGCTCCATCCCCTCATCATTCTTACTGAGAGATCACAAATATTTGAAACCTTCAATTGGGGTCATTTGTGGGAAAGGTGTTAACTTCTTCCATTTTCCTCTTCCAATTTGTAATGTGTCTGCAATATTCTTACTTTCTCAAAAGGCAGCAGAAGCAGAATCTAGTTGTTTTAAAGGCAGAGATAGATAGATTCTTGGTAAGCAAGAGAGGGAAAGGTTATTCGGGGTAAGTGGGAATGTGGAGTAATTAGATCATCATGATCTTATTGAATGGCACAAGAGACTTAACTGGCCAAGTGGCCAACTCCTGCTTCTAATGGTGACGGACGTCACTGGATTTGAAACATTGGCTATGTTTTTCTCTCTCCACAGAAGCCGCCTGACCTGCTGAGTTTCTAGAGCACTTTTTGTTTATATTTCAGGTCTCCAGCTCTACGGTTCTTTGTTTTATTCATATGAACTATGTAAGTTCCCATTTGATTTCATTAAATCCAACGTGATGGAGAAAAATAAACTATAAATCATTGTTAATGAGGCTCTAATACACCTGTAATGTGACATCCCATGTGACATCTTGTGCACAGACCTGGTTGCGGCAGTCAAACTCTAGATTTTTTTTATTCATACTAATTTTAGAGAAACATAGGCAAATAAGAGACACCTTTAATTTTGCTGTCATGTTTACTTGCCTTTGCACTGAGGTGCATTTGTCCATTTTCCATTGGCCAAGCAAAAGCCTGTTTCATTTCCAATTAAAGCCAAACGTTCTTTGCACTCGTAGGAAATCATATCTCCAAAGACAGACACCTTAGTCGGCTGGCCTGTGGTTTGAAAACGCACTGATCCATTTTCTGGAGGATTTGGGGGTGGACATTGCACGGCTGCAAAAAATACAAACAAATCAAATCAACTGCACTGGGAATATATGTTGCTGCACACTGTCTGCCTTTGCTTGGTCAAAGGTAGCACAGATAGCTATGGTGTGAAGAAAAAGTTCATTCTCTTTCTAAGTTATCTTGTTGTTATTTATCTTTTATTATCTGTTATTAACTTTATTGTAATTTTTCTCCCTTTCCTGTCTCTTGTCTAGAAAACATTGCCAAGTTGAGAGGACACCACCATCCTGCATTGCTGCCTTTGCTACTCTATAGCTCATTAGGTAATGGGGTCAGTTAACTCAGTTGGCTGGACAGCTGGCTTGCGATGCAGAGTGATGCCAACACATGGGCTTAATTTCCACACCATGAGGCAACCATGAAGGACTTTCCTTCCTAACCTCTTCCATCACCTGTTGTGAACTGACACTCAAGTTAAATCATCACCAGTTCTCTCTCTGAAATGAGAGAGCAATACTTTGATCTAGTAAGTCTGTGATGACTTTGCTTTAAATTTATACCTGATCACAGGTAAATATGCAAGTGTGGCCCAACAGACCTTGTAGTCCATTTAATAGACTTAACTGGCCAAGCATGTAGTCTTCTTTTGGCTTCTCGTTTAGATGGGACAGCTGAAATGAAGAACTACCTATCGATGAGATCAAGGCAGTCTAATTATTCTTTTTAGTTTTCTAATGGCTCTATTTCTTATTGTCCACTTTGGCAGATATCATTTCTTAGTCCAGCAAATGGGCATTTGAGCTGTTCTCAATATACCATTAATGACATGCTTCCATTAATTGCTAAATGCAAAAGAAGTATTTTTCCATCCCTCATTGTGAGGAGATCTACTCTGAGTTTAACATGAACATCAAAATGTACCACTTCTCTCCACTCCACGCCTAAGGATCCTGATTCTTTTAAAAATCTAGTTCCATAGATATAACATGGCATTGACAGCACCGGTCAAACAGGGTCATGCTGATTGTTTATGCTGTAGAGAAGCTCTGTCCTAATCCTTTTCATCCATTCTAACCCACCAGCATTCTCTTCTAGGTACTTTATCCTTTACAGTATTTTACCCAAATGGATGTTCTTCATGTGAATGAAAGCAAATGAGTTTTGGTAAGCTATTTCATCCTGTCCTCATTTTATAGCATGCACCATACAGCAGGAAATCCTGATCTTTCTCCCTTCTTTAACGTAAGAACGTATGGAATAGGAGCAGGAGTAGGTGAAATCACAATAATAGCTGATCTCTTACTTTCCTAATCACCAACCTTTCCCCCTTATCACTTGTTTTCCCGAGAGAGCAAAAAATACGTTTATCTCATTTTTCACCCTGAAATAGATTCAATGAAGTAGCATCCGCAAACCCCTGGAAGAGAGAATTGTAAAGATTCACAACTTCTCATCTCAGTTCTAAATGATTGCTTCCTTGTTCTAAGACTGTGCCCCTCTGTTCTACACAGCCAGGGGAAGCAACTTCTTAGTTTCTGCCTTTTCAAGTCCCTTCAGAATCTTACATGTTTCAATGAGATCACCTCTGAACTCCGAAGAATAGAGACCTAATTTACTCAGTCCCTCCCCAAAGGACAAACCCCTCATCCCAATCTACTGAACCTCCACTGTACTGCCTCCAGAGCAAGTATATTCTTCCTTAAGCATGGAGAACAAAACTGCACACAGTACTCCGGGTGTAGTCCCATCAAAGCTACATACAGTAGTAAGACTTTTTTTTAATTCTTGTATTCCAGACCTCTTATAATTAATACTAATATGCTATTTTCCTTCCCAATTGCTTGACGACTCCCGGCCTCCGGCATCCACTCCCAGTGTGGCGGCATCCCATGGCGGTTTCTAGGTATGGTGTGGCGCAGCCTCTCGGCATGGTATGGCGACATCCCAAAGCGGCCTCCCGACATGGCATCCTCAGCTCAATGTGGTGGTATGGAGTGACCTCTCAGCTTCATGATCCTCAAGGTGAAGCCCAGTGCAGTCTGGAGGCTAGGTACCAGCATGGTATAGGTTGGAAGACTGCTGTTCTGGATTTTATTTCTGTGATGCTGGACATTTTATTTCTCCATTTTCTAAGATCTTGTGACTAAAGAATCTGTTCCTAGGTATAAGATGGCGCTGTAAGTGGCAACATATAAACATTTCACTGTACTGATTGAGTAAATGTGACAATAAAGCCAATTATGATTGCTAACTTTCTCTGTCCCTTGTACAAGTATACCAAAGTCTCCAAATATCAACATTTTCAAGTTTAATGTTTTTTTCTTAAAAATCTGCTTTTATATCCTGATGACTAAGGTGATTAACCCCACACAATATGCCATGTGTCCCCTTATTCCGCAGTCATTTAACATTTCCACATTTATTTCCAGGTTCGTTGTATTCCCCCTTACAGCTTACGTTCCTATCGAAAATAGCTATAGCCCCAGCACTAATAGGTGTGGACCTAAAAGTGGGTCATTTATCATTTTCCAATCTACCCTGTCTATGCCCCTCATAATTTTATACATCTCAATCATGTTCCCCCTCAGGTGACTTTGTAACAACTGTCAATTATTATTTTTAAAAAACCCATCTGGTTTACTAAAGTGCTTTGGGGAAGAAAATGTGCAATCCTTACCTGGTCTGATCTACAAGGGTCTCCAGACCCACAGCAATGTGGTTGACTCAACTGCCTTCTGGACATTTAGGGATGGGCAATAAATGCTGGCTGAGCCAGCGATGACCACATCCCATAAAAGAATAAAAAATAGTTGTTAGTTTATATATATATTTAAAAGTTTATTTTGGTATTGGGGAAGGAAGGGAGAGATGATGCTGTGCCCACTCGTCACGAAGAATTTATGTCTTACAGCTGCCACAGTGGGATTTGGCCCCACACCTCCAGAGCATTAATGTGGGCCTCTGGAATACTAGTCTACTAACTTCACCACTCAGATATGTTCTTCATCAACCTTTTCAGGGATGTTATTATACACCTCTGGAACAAGTGGGACTTAAACTCAGGCCTCCTGGTTCAGAGGTAAGCACCATAACAGCCTTAATTTGTCACTATACTGCAGTCATTTTAGCTTGTTCCAGTTCAATTAAATTTAATTTTCAGTGAGTTAATGATGTTCCCCAACTCTGTCTCTTTTTATGCTATTTTGATTAATCAGATCAAACAAACTTGGCTATGGATCATGTGCAGGGAAATGGGATTAGTGTAGTTTGGTGTTTGTTAATCGGTATAGACATGGTGGGCCAAAGGGCCTGTTTCTATACTATATAACTGTATTACTCTCTATAAACAAAATAAACAGGATTCATTTCCTTGAAGAGGCACTGTAACAAAAGGTAATCGCAAAAATGAACTTATAAAAATTGAATCTTGGCTGTGAGGATTGATTAGGCACCCTCACTCTTTATAACTACTTAGGTGCTTTAAATCAACCTACTCAGGGATGTTATCATGCAACTCTGGAGCAAGAGAGACTTGAACCTAGGCTTCCTGGCTCAGAGGTAGGGCCACTATCACTGTGTTACAGGAGCATCCCCCATAAGTGCTTAAGTGTTTTCTAATCAACCTGCTCACTGATGTTATTACATAAGTCATCCCTGGATCTCCTGGCTCAAAGATAAAGACACAGCCACTGTACAAGAGCCCTTCCCTACATAAGTAATTAGATTTTTAAAAAATTAACCTGTTCACAATTGTTATGAAACACCTCTGGACCAGGTAGGACTGGACTTGAACCCAGGCCTCCTGGTACTGACATAAGCACACTATCACTGCACCACATGAGCCCTGATAAGTATTTAGTTAAACAATGTCCTTCACCTGTGCATCATACCAATATAATTAACATCCCATTAATACCCAGTCTGTTCCAATTACTTCTTCAACTATTCCCCCATATCCAGTAGTGTATGTGATGCAGTCATTCTCTACATTAAGGTTCCTTGAGTAGGATGACTAAACTCACTTTACAACATGTATACAAAATACTTACGTTCACAGAACTGATGCTGATCACTCCATGTCCCATCATGCAGACAGGTGCTGTGGTTTAATCCTCTAAGAATATATCTGATCAAATAAAGTTAGAATTATCAACAGCGTTGAACAGAACATGAGAAGACAATTAGTAGCCTGCAATTCACCACAAAGCTTCGGTCATTTAAGTCTCAATTTTACATTGTCACCAAGAGAAATTGTCAGAAATATAGCAGTGGAGAAGGGGGGAGTGAGGCATGAATTTCTAACTCCTCCCATTTCCCCATACCTGAGTTTCCAATCTCATTGAGTCTTCCCTGATTAGCTGTTGCACACTAGCTAACAAGAAAGTCAAGAGAAACTCACCCTCTCAATCGCAGTTTATAACGACACAGTGAGAAAGAAGTGCAGAACGTTATAGCAGAAGAGGTTCTGGTTTTTTTCGGGAGAGAAGAAGAACTTCAAAGCAAGGTTAAACCGGCCCAGCAGCCTTTCTTGTTGCTCATATTTACAGAGCTCACCGCACATTCTCTTTCATTCCAGTGGCTACAGGACAGTAATGTGTCTTATTTTAGAGCAGCAACACTGGTTTGTGAGCAACCACAAACCCTTCAATGTATTGACCTAAAGTTCTGCTTCCACTGTAGAATTTTTAATTGAACTTAAGGCTTAATAAAATTATTTTCCCAATAAAGTATGACAACCTTAGACTGGGATAAAAATAAGTTCTTTCTACTACTTTGTGCACGAAATGTTTACTGAATAATTGAACTGACCAAAAGCAGCAGTAAGTAATGTTTAAATAAAAAAGAGACAATGATATTCTCCGTGAAATACATCCCAATATTACAACAACTTAATTGGTGCTACTGATGAGTGTGAGATGTCCAAAACTATTAAAATTAAATAAAAATGAAGTGATGACATATAGTGGCTTGGAATGAGCTATTGTGGTTTATATTCTCAACATTTTGAAACTCTTCAGAAGTCCTAATTTCTTGAAAGACATTTTCATGTTTTCTTCTATGTTTGTAGAACTGATGAGCTTTCTAAAATGTGTGGGCTGTAGTTATGTTTGATTAAACAGAAGCAATTTATATTGCCAATTTTGTTTTCAGGTCACAGACGATGTACTGAAAACTGATAATTGGGGAATATTTTCCATTTTCCCTTTTCCCTTTTTTATAAAAGAATGTAACCATGAATAATGCAGGAACCAACTTTCCTGTCAGTAGCAGCCAAGAATGCTAATTTGTCAAGTGTTAATGACAGGAAGTGAGGCAAAAAAATGTGATTCCTACAGAAGGGGCAAGCCAAGTGATTCCAGGGAAAAGAGGTTACTGTGACTAATTGTCAAACATCCTGCGTCAAGTTGCTTTGCAGACACCAAAATTAGCCTAGTTGCTGGGATACCCGAGGTGGGATGAAAATAGAAAATGCTGTAAATACTCATTAACTCCTCAGAACTGTTCTAATATAAGGTCATCAATCTGTTTCTCTCTCTATAGGCACTGCTAGGCTTGCTGCACATCTCCAGCATTTTCTGGTTTTATTTCAGATTTCAAAGATTTGCAGTATTTTACTATTGTAAGATTGAGTTAGGCTTCAACCTGAGATCTCCTCAGGGAGGAGGAGCAGAGTGGACCGGCCAGAAAGGCCTTAATCATCTTCCTCAATCCCATCCCAGGGATTGTTCCGATGTTAGAGCCAGTGAGCGTAGTGGCTGCTGTTCCCCTTTAGCAACCAGTCCCACAGCTGCTTCTTTCCCTTATTTCTGGTGCATAGATTGACCAAATCATGAACTTGTGGAACTGAGCCATTTAAGCTGAGCTAGCCCACCACATTTGGACATTTTGTGGACCCATGTATTTTGGATACATTTTTTTCTCTGTCACTCAGGGTAGCTCAATGGTTAGCACTGCTGCCTCATAACGCCAGGGACCCAGGCTTGAGTCCACCCTTGGGTGACTGTGTGCGTTCTCCCCCGTGTCTGTGTGGGTTTCCACCAAGAGCTGCAGATTCTTACCACCGTCCAAAAATGTGCAGGTTAGGTGGATTAGCCATGCTAAATTGCCCTGTTGTGTCCAGAGATGTGCAGGCTAGGTGGATTTCACTTGACATGATAGTGCAACTGCAATGCAATGACAGTCAATGTGTTCTTAGATAACACTTCTAAAATAAAAAGACCATAATAAGGGGGATCTAAGAGATGTAGAGACATGTACAAGTATTTGTTATAACTTACACAAGAATTAAATGCCTTTAATAAAAACTGCGCAATACTATATAATACATGTTGGATTGTGTCATTACTACTATGTCAATATAACTACGATCTGTTGGGAATGGTCAGAAAACAGGCTGGAAAAGCTCATCCCCTCTTCCCTAAATCCCTAGAAAGACAATGTATACTAAAGGTAAAGTCTCATACAAGAGGAAGTGGGGAAGAGAGATTCATTGTTATAAAGTTCTAGCAAAGAATCTGTGCAGAACAATGGCTTAAATGTTTTGTGTTTCTGCTGTAAAATTCTATAGCCCTTTAGGCTGAAAGGAGGTATTGGGTAGTTGAGACCGATGAAATGTACACAAATAACTGTAGAGAAATATCTCAGAGGCGCTCAGGGTTATATGCCAATCCAGCAAAATGCTATAAGTACATAAATCTGAATTCTGCTGTTAAAAGTTCCAAACCTTGGTTCATGCACTTTCAATTTATTCCAAAATTTACACTGTTGTCCTCCCCAGGGAATAGTTCAAATAGAAATGGCATGGCTGTACATTTAAATATAAAGAAAAAGTTATTCTTAGGGTTTCCTGATGTCTTAACAGGTGTTGTGAAGTTGGGTAGAGTACTTGTGGAAGCAGGAAGTTAGAATTTGGTGTTTGTAAATTGCTAGAGGGAAAAGCATTGTGTGGTCCCTTCAAAAGATCATGTGCTTTTTCTGTGCTCAGAGATTAAAATGGATGTCTGTGAACAGCAGCTTGAAAGTTTGCAAGTACACAGAGAGCTGGCTGCTATCCGCCAAAGCTAACGGCTCTTTGCTCTCAAGAGAGAATCGCTGGCTGTCACAGGCTGTTCTATGTCTTAGAGAAAGCACCATCTAAATACCATCGGTACCAATGGCTCAACTGGTTAATATTCCTGACAGAAGAATTGACAGAGAAGGTATTCTTGACAGAAGAATCAACAGAAAAGGCACAGAACATTCCAGAAGACA